TGGAAGTATGGGCATTTTCACTATATTGGTTCTTCCTACCCAGGAGCAAGGGATGTCTTTCCATTTTGTTGTATCCTCTTCGATATCTTTTTTCAGAGTGCTGTAGTTTTCAGAGTAGAGGTCTTTTGCTTCCTTTGTTAGATTGATTCCTAGAAATCCTCAACAAGATACTAGCAAACAGAATACAGAGGGTCATCAAGAAGATCATACACACTAAGTCGGATTTATCCCAGGTAATGTGTCTTTTTACTATAATAATTTTTGTTTTTTGTTTTTACTGGTGATTTGATTATTGATCTTTACATAAAGCATAATGGTTTTGAGTGATTTACAGTTTTAAAACATAAGTTCATATTGATTTGAGTTCTTTCATGTTTTAATAAAAGGACTATTCTACTGAACCAGAACTAAAGTAGATATAGTTTATTCATATGCATTTGAAAACAAGCCTCCAAGTTTCCCATCTCAGTTCATCTTGTTTTAAGCATTATTAAAAATGTGTCATTGTGTCATCATGGTGAATTCCTCAGCAGCTTCCACAGTATTTCCAAAGGAATCTCTGCAAGGTAGCAATACCTATCTTTCCCTGGAAGCACACTGACAATCACAATTACTACCTCTACCCTCTTGAAATAGATTTCTTTTTGCCATTACACAAAGAATATACCACTAGGACTTTGAAAACCTAAATTCTGGCTCTGTCACAAACTGTATAAATTTAGGTCATGTATCTTCCTCAAGCATCTGTTCTCAACTGCAAAAAATAATTTACATTTGCTTGGTCCTTTGAATTTATCTTCACAGTAACCCTTACATTTAAGAAAGCATTACATTCATCTCATAGTAGAAATTCAGTCTCAAAGATGTATTGGAAATAGTGTTATTTGACCCGACTGTTCAGTTTCTCTTTCCTAACAAGAAAACATTTCCATCCTAGGAGTCAGGAAAGCTGTTACAAAGAATGAACTAATAAATCTAAATTGGAAGGTGAAATTTTGAATGTTAAATGTGGGGTTCAAGCCATGTGACTAATTTAAAGTGTTATCATGTGCCCGAAATGCAGTATTTCTCTCACTTATAATAAATTTGTAGATATGATTAGTCATGCTGACATATACATAGAACTATGCCTAAACCTAAATATTTAAAAAGACAAAATAGTTTCTATTAGCAATCCTGAAACATCAACACAGCTCAATAAATAGTATGCTCTCAAAGAAAGGAGCATCATACACTTGGTAATTTCTATAATTTAACATGCTAAAATTGAGTAAATAAGCAAGCAAAAGGATGAGAAGTACACACAAGAAAAGTAATTTCGTGATTTTCTTCATTTTGATTCTATTGCTTTCTTGTTTTCAGGAGGAAAGATCTTGACTTCAAAAGTAACAAAATACTTGAGAAGCGAATTTACATCTTCCAGTTTTAAATGGTATTCTTGTACTATTTTTTCAGCAATCCATGTTTCTGGATAAAGTTTATGATTATTGAGAAGTGTCAAGGCCTCTGCAATGGAAATCTTGCCCTTGGGAATGTTCTTAATATCTATACCAAAGTGATGGCCCTTTGGCAATCTGGATTCCTTTGTCTCTTGCCATGTTTCAGAATCTTTTACCCGCAGAGGTGATACAGGATCTTTGGAATCAACATATACATCTTTCAATAATGACAGCAGCTTGTCATTTTTCCTAGCAATTCCTCTCTTAATTTCCGGATGGTCGCTCATCTCTTGCAGGACGCTGCGGGTGGACGGGTGCCTCGGGGCCGCAGACGGCTTCATCTTGCTGATTTCCCATTCTGTTCGGTTCTCTAAGTTGAAATTCCTAATCGCTCGAGCCACTGCAGCCCCTATGCTCTCTATAACATGATGCACTCAGGTTCTCGACGCACGTAGGTGACCTCCAGGCCCACCGGCAAGTCTCTTTTGTTGTTGTTTAAACACACAAACACCGCACTGTCTGATGAGCCCTGTACTCTGCTACTTACTTATTTTTCTCTGTATGGTTCCTTTTTAGAAAAGAATACTTAAAGTCTTGAGATAGAAAATAGATGTAGACTCTAAAAATATGTATGAATTTAAAGCAAAAATCACCGCGTGTGTGTGCAGGTGCATGCCTGTGTGCATGTACCAATGGGGCTTCACAAATTAGTGTGGGGCAGATGATTGTTATGTCAGAGGAAAAAAGTTGAGAAGAAAGGCAATTCTCTTATCACTGAGACTCAATAAAAATGTATTTTGGATGAAATTCTAATTCTCCAAGTAAGGCGACACTACAACGGTCCTTTCAGAGTTTAACTAGAAGTACTGTTTTCTGAAAATCTGTCAAGCAAAACTTGTTTCCCAGGGCCCTCTATATATCAATGGCACAATGACAGTTGATGTTTGTTACAATGATCCTAAAAGTATTAAAACAAAGTAATTTTTAGCTTTTTGAATAACAGTTAAAGATGCTTAGCATTATGTATGAAATGATTTTTAAATGGATTCTAACATCCTAAAACTGTGTGACACCTAATAACTCCATTATTCAGGGTATTTGATAACCCCAAATGCCCTATTTCATGTCTAGGAGATAATAAAATAAACTTAAATTAAGCAGCCATTTATTAGAATTCTCTAAAGACATATTAAAAATGTTAAAAGACTTACATTAAAAAATCAATATAATATTCTCAATTTATTAATTCAGTAGAATCTAGTTATTCACACAATAAAACCACCACCACAAAAAACTACATACATTAATGTTCTCAAATTGGTAAAGCTTATCATATTTTTTTTACTTTTCAAAGTAATTGTTTTATTTTTAACCTTTTATTGAAAATAGAACACAGGTTTGAGAAAATGCAGGAAGCAAAAATGTACAGTTGAACCATTCACCAAGAAGAAGGGACACAGCCAGGTGGCTAGCACTCAGGTCTGAAAGTACTGTATCATTTACCCGCATCTTGGCAACTTCTGTCCAGTCAGTGCCTGCTCCCTGGCCCCCACTCAGTGTAACCAGCCCCTTCACTTCTTTGCTGTTCTTTGTTTTGCAACCTCAGTGTGAAGTTTCATTTGTCTGTTTTTTCACCTTGTATAGGTAGAATCATGCAGTAAGGTTTCTTTTGCATCTGGCAAGTATTAGTCTTCTTATCTCTACTTCACTATCACTAATTCTAATTTTAAAAATATCTTAATTGAGATGTAATTTATGTATATAATTCACCTAAACTATGCAAGCTGGTAGTTCTTAGTATGATCACACAATTATGCAACCATCACCACAACTGAAGTTAAAGCATTAAAGCAAAAACAAACTTCACCCCCAGGCCCCAACCATTACCTTATGTACTTTCGGTGTCCCTATATGTTTCCTATTTTAATTAGAATTTTAAAATATTCCTCCTATCTAAATGTAATTATGGTATTAGAATAATACCATATCTCCTCATTAATAGTTATTTTTAATCCCTCAAAATAATATTACTTCTGGGGCTATCTCATTGTGGGATACTTATTTATATATTTTTGCACTCCTGGGAATCGAACTCAGGAAGTGCTGAGCTATACGCCCATCCTTTAAAAAGTTTTTATTTGAGACAAGTTCTCACTAAGTTGCCCAGGCTGGCCATGAACTTGTGATCTTCCTTCTTCAGCCTTCCAAAAAGTTGGTGAGGTTTTTAAAAGTAGACTTTATTATGTTGAGAAGTTTCAGCTTCACATCAAAAATTGAGAGTATGGTAAAGAGATTTTCCATCTATCCCTGCTCCCCACACAAGTTAAGTTTCCCCCTTACTAACATTCCCCACCAGTGTGGTACAGTTGTTGCAATGGGTGAACCTATAGTGACATAGCATTATTACTGAAAGCCCATAGTTGACATTAGGTTTCATCTTTGGTGTTGTGTATTCTGAGAGTTTGAACAAATCTATAATAACATGTATCCATCACTATAATATCATTCAGAGTATTTTCACTGGCTTAAAAATCCTCTGTGCTCTGCCTGTATACCTTCCTCTTCCCTAACCCCTCTGATCTTTTTACTGTCTCCATAGATTTGCCTTACCCAAAATTTTTCATAGTTGAAATCATAAGTATTTAGCCTTTACAGATTGGCTTCTTTCACTTAGTAATATGCATTTAAGTCACACAATGTCCTTTTGTGAATTGGTAACTCATTTCATTTTTGGAACCGAATAATACTCCATTGTCTGGATATACTTCTCTTTATTCATCTGCTGAATGACATCTTGGCTGCTTCCTGGTTCTGGCAATTATAAATAAAGCTATAATAAACATTCATGTGCAGGTTTTCACAAGGACATAAATTTTTAACTCTTTTGAGTAAATACCAAGAAGCACTATAGTTGGATGATATAGTAAGAGTATGTTTAGTTTTGTAAAAAAAAGTTGAACTGTCTCCCAACATGGCTAAACCATTTTGCATTCCCATAAGCTATGATGTTGACTCACACCCTTGTTAGCACTTGTATTGTCAGTGTTTGAAATTTTGTTTAGTCTAATAACTGCGGTGATATCTCATTTTTTAATATATGCTTATCTGCTATCTGTATGACAAAGAAGATATAAATGATATGTATACATTTATAATTGCTATATCTTCCTGGTGAATTATGTTCCATATCGTTATGAAGTCCTCTTTACCTCTGGCAATTCTTAAAGTCTACTGTGTATGATATTAATATGAAATTCTAGCTTTTTATTGTTTTTATTTTTAATATTTCTGAATGATTACATTTTAGAATATGTCTTGAAAACAATTTTTATTCATTTTATTATTTGTAATTATCTGATGGACTTTTGTCTTTAATTGAAGCAGTCTATTTATGTTGAATATGTTTATTAGTATTGTGGGCTTATATCTACTATATTTTTAGTGGTTTCCATTTCTTCCAATGTCTCTGTGTTTTCTCCTCTTGCTTGCTATCTGTTGGCGTAATTATTTTTAATAATATAACTTTTGTTAGCTTGGAAATTATATATTCATTTACTGTCCTTTTGGTGATTATACTAGAGATTACAGCATGCATTTGTGGCTTACAAATGTCTAGTATTAACTGGAGCTCTTATTGTCTTCTTTAATAATGCAAAGATCTGCGAATAATTTAGTTTCATTCCCACATGTTTTTAGAACTCACACACACACACAACAAAACAGTTATTATTTCCATGTTGTCAATATTGCTTAACATTTACTTTAATATTTACTTGCTTTATATTTTTTCAATATTCCCTTATTTTCCTGTCTTCCACCCAAGATGTTCTCAGGAGGGTTAGTCTGCATTACCTAGTCCACTATTATTAAAAGTGGAAGAATTTGCCTTAGCAATTGTTCTAAATCTTTTCCAGTGTAATGTGGGTTTGATTATTTTGTTGATTAGAGTTTAGATTGAATTTTAACTGGAAAATTATTTTATTTACATAAAGTAAGTTCGAACATACAAATCAATATTTTGCATCTCGTTGACCTAAGTCTTATCCTGATTTGTGTTCATGTTGGCTTCCTTAGTAGCAGATACTGTGATGAGGATTCTTGGGAATGGCATCCACTAGAAGTATTCCTGGGATAAGCTGGTGGAGACTTAGAAGAGGAGACAAGGGGCCGGAGATTTAGCTCAGTGGTTCTGCTGCCTGCCTTGCAAGCTCAAGGTCCCTAGTTCAATCCCTGGTACCCCCTCCACCCTCCAAAAAGAGGAGATAAGATCCAAGAAAGGCATATATTTCAGTCAGAGTACCTCAGTTATCATGATCGTCACACCTCTGAGGAATTCCAGTCAGAGGCAAGGGAAACTTAGAAAGAATATTTAGACTCTTGCTTTCTAGTCATTGTGAAAGGGACATCTCCAAGATGACAGTAATCCCCACATGTTCTGCTTTTCACTTGCAGATGTAGAGCTGGCTCTTTGCAAGGAAAGCATACTAGGAAAGAGTATGCTTCTCAAGGAGACCAAGCAGATAACAAACAGAGAAATGACTGTGTCTGCTGCGACCTACGAGGGCACATCTTGACTGAGGTCCACAGATACAACTCAAGAGTTCCAGAAACTTCAATGGGAAGAAAATACACATGTATTTTCCTTAACCTCCAATGAAATTTAGGGTTTAAAAAAGAAATTCTGACAGTAGTAATATTAGGAACGCAGGAAAAGTGTATGTTCCCAGATAGCACAGGGCCTTGTATAGTAAGAAAATTACTCATTGTATTTAATTTTTGAAAAAGTATGAAAGAAAAAATACTGAAAATAGGAAGAAATTAATCAGTGAACTACTCACATTTCCATGGTAAACATCCTAGAATTTGGCTAGAAAAAGAACACATTGCTATGATCTGGTAATTTGGTACCGCAGCAAATGATACCAGTGTTAGAAGTAAAATAATAACCAGGAACCCCCAAGAGATAATGGCATTAACTCTGGTAGACAGCATGTGTCCAGAATTTTGATTATTTTAAAAAGCTGTTAAAGCAAAAATAATAAAACCTCAACCAACTAATGATGAATATTTTTCTAAAATTCATCCCTGGACTGTGAAAGGTTGTTACCCACAGCACCAAAGTTTAGAAGTTCTTTTGAGTTTTATTTCAGTGCTACATGTGGAATATAGTTTTGTACCAGGAATCTGACCTTGGCTCTCATCTAAGGAAATTTCAGTACTTAAGAAACCAACCATACCATTATAGGCTGGTCAGGTAGCTGTAACTGGCCCTATGAGAAAGCTGCATTATAGAGTATAAAGTATATTCAATTCTACCTGGTTCCATGTATTAGATGTTCCCACTCATCTGATGAAGAGTCATGTTTCTGCTTAAGGGTGTTCTTTTTAGATTAATGTTCTTTTGAATATTGTGGACAGATTCACAGGGAGTATAGTGAAGACCTATTCTTACTGATTGTC